AGCACGCCAGGCACTCCTGTCTTCCACTGCCTCCCGCAGTTTAGTCAAACTCATGCTGGTAGCTTCGAGAACACTATCCAGCCACCTCGTCCTCTGTCGTCCCCTTTTCCTTGTGCCCTCCATCTTTCCCAACATCAGGGTCTTTTCCAGGGAGTCTTCTCTTCTCATGAGGTGGCCAAAGTATTGGAGTCTGTCCTTCCAGTGAGCACTCAGGGCTGATTTATTTCAGAATGGATAGGTTTGGTCTTCTTGCAGTCCATGGGACTCTCCAGAGTCTCCTCCAGCACCATAATTCAAAAGCATCCATTCTTCGGCGATCAGCCTTCTTTATGGTCCAGCTCTCACTTCTATACATCACTACTGGGAAAACCATAGCTTTAACTATACGGACCTTTGTCGGCAAGGTGATGTCTCTGCTTTTTAAGATGCTGTCTAGGTTTGTCATTGCTTTTCTCCCAAGAAGCAGGCGTCTTTTAATTTCGTGGCTGCTGTCACCATCTGCAGTGATCATGGAGCCCAAGAAAGTAAAATCTCTCACTGCCTCCATTTCTTCCCCTTCTGTTTGTCAGGAGGTGATGGGACCAGTGGCCATGATCTTAGTTTTTTTTATGTTGAGCTTCAAACCATATTTTGCCACCTGTCGCTGCCAGCAACTGGTATTCAGAAGCATAATGCCCTCAGCAGAGGAGGTAGAACACAGCCAGCATGTAGGCTGCACATAGTTAATCTTCGGAACGCCCTGCTGCAGGAGGCAGTGATGGCTTAAAAAAAAAGAATAAGATCAATTCACGGAGGAGACAGGCCATCACAACCTCCTCTGGCAGCAAAACTCTGCACTGCGTGAAGTTTTCCTGTCCTCTCTCCTGAATCTTCCGATGTTCAGCTTCCATGGATGAACCTGGCCTCTGTTATTATTCTTTCTCCACGTTCTCCATACAACTGACTTCTTCGCGTGACCTTTTCTCCAGACTAAGAAGACCCAAGTGCTGCTTCCTTGCCCCATAAGGGAGTCAGTCTCTCCACCCCCTTTGGGCAACCCATTTCCGAACCTTTGCGAGCACAACAACATCTTTTTTTGAGCTGAGGTCACCAGAACTGTCAGCAGCATTCCAAACGGGGTCACGCCATACAGTGGTACCTCAGGTTAAGTACTTAATTCGTTCCGGCGGTCTGTACTTAACCTGAACCTGTTCTTAACCTGAAGCACCACTTTAGCTAATGGGGCCTCCTGCTGCCGCTGCGCCACCGGAGCCCGATTTCTGTTCTCATCCTGAAGCAAAGTTCTTAACCTGAAGCACTATTTCTGGGTTAGCGGAGTGTGTAACCTGAAGCGTATGTAACCTGAGGTACCACTGTATTTTGTTTGCCTTATTAACATACGTACATCATCCCATTTCTCATGCTATTCATTGTACAAATATGGTCACAAGGTCCTTTAGATAATCTTATTGACGCATCAGCAGAATATCTTTATTGCAGGGGCCTTAATCACCTCCACTGCAAGCTGCTCCACTTCCACGCATCCCTTATACAAGTTCAAGTCCGTTTCTCATCTGATAACGACAGGTGTTAACCAACAGGCATAGATGCGTGCAGCTCCTGTATTCATGTTCCACAACCACAAGTTAGCTACATCCTGTGTATCTTACAGTGTGGGTACATCGCTTTCTACTAATCTGTCTCCTTCATATCCTGGGGTTCTTGTGGTTACTTTTATCAGCTCTAAACTGTAAGTTATTAGCCAAGCAGGCATCCGTTCTTATATGAGAAGCAAAATAAAGCATAAAACAGAGAATCAATGTAAAGATTGCGAATTGCGCAGAGACATCACCTTGCTGACAAAGGTCTGTACCTCGGGTTACAGATGCTTCAGGTTACAGTCTCCGCTAACCCAGAAATAGTACCTTGCGTTAAGAACTTTGCTTCAGGATGAGAACAGAAATCGTGTCCGGTGGTGTGGCAGCAGCTGGAGGCCCCATTAGCTAAAGTGGTACCTCAGGTTAAGAACAGTTTCAGGTTAAGAACGGACCTCCAGAACGAATTAAGTTCTTAACCCGAGGTACCACTGTATAGTTAAAGCTATGGTTTTCCCAGTAGTGATGTATGGAAGTGAGAGCTGGACCATAAAGAAGGCTGATTGTTGAAGAATGGATGCTTTTGGGTTATGGTGCTGGAGGAGACTCTTGAGAGTCCCATGGACTGCAAGAAGATCAAACCTCTCCATTCTGAAGGAAATCAGCCCTGAGTGCTCACTGGAAGGACAGATCCTGAAGCTGAGGCTCCAAAACTTTGGCCACCTCATGAGAAGAGAAGACTCCCTGGAAAAGACCCTGATGTTGGCAAAGATGGAGGGCGCAAGGAGAAGGGGACGCCAGAGGACGAGATGGTGGGACAGTGTTCTTGAAACTACCAGCATGAGTTTGACCAAACTGCGGGAGGCAGTGGAAGACAGGAGGGCCTGGCGTGCTCTGGTCCAGGGGGTTACAAAGAGGCGGACACGACTAAACAACAACAAATGTTGTATAAGATAAAGAATTGCTTAGAAGCACTTATTCAAAATCTTGGCCAACCCCAACCTCTCTCACCACCAAAGGAACCCAAGGGAATAGCAGAGAACCTGCACAAGGTTAAGAGACGCTGACACAAACCCCACATATATTAAGTAAACTAGAAAGATCGCCTCCCGGCCAAACCCCCACTCACCTTTCCCCCCTCGACTTCTTTCCCCCTTTTCTTCCTAATGTCCCAACAAATGAAACTGATCTGTAAAAAATGTTACTTCAAAAAAGTAAGAAAGAGAGACATTGCATATACTTTTGGAAACCAAGAAAATATTTAATAAAAATACATTAATATATATCCATATAGGCTGAAATGTGTGCTCAACAAAGGTAAAGGTAAAGGGACCCCTGACTATTAGGTCCGGTCGTGGCCGACTCTGGGGTTGTGGCGCTCATCTCGCTTTACTGGCCGAGGGAGCCGGCGTACAGCTTCTGGGTCATGTGGCCAGCATGACTAACCCGCTTCTGGTGAACCAGAGCAGCACACGGAAATGCCGTTTACCTTCCTGCCGGAGTGGTACCTATTTATCTACTTGCACTTTGACGTGCTTTCGAACTGCTAGGTTGGCAGGAGCAGGGACCGACCAACGGGAGCTCACCCCGTCACAGGGATTAGAACCGCCAACCTTCTGATCGGCAAGCCCTAGGCTCTGTGGTTTAACCCACAGCACCACTATTTGTATAAAACATCTTGTTTTATGAACGATGAAGAGGCAACAATATATTATTTCCCACACCATCCAACCGCTGCTTAAAACCCCCCCAAAGAAGGACAGCCTGTAGCTGTAACCTGCTTGTGGTTAATGCTTAGCTGGAATGAAATATTCAACCCAGCAATAGAGAAATTAAAATAATAATTTATTTGTCAGACTAATAAATGATAGGCACAGACAAATAAATGATAGGCACAATCATAAAAGATACACCCATTTCCTATTACCTTTTATGGGAGACAAAGAGCTATATTTCCTTCTATCCATAAATGGCAGACAAGTAGCCATATATCTTACATTTGCCTCGACAAGGCACCTTAATTACCAGGTCACCTTTTGCCCTTTTGCCCTATTGCCCCTTCACTCCAAAACAGATGGCTAAAACAGATGGCTCATGGTAACAGAGATATTGGGTTCATATTCTCACACACCATCAATGAAATAAGAAGCTAACATAAGAATCTAACATTTCTTACTTTCTAAATCCTTTGCATAATTACATTTAAGCCAATATATTTCATAAGGTAAAGGTAAAGGTACCCCTGCCCGTACGGGCCAGTCTTGACAGACTCTAGGGTTGTGCGCTCATCTCACTCTATAGGCCGGGAGCCAGCGCTGTCCACAGACACTTCCGGGTCACGTGGCCAGCGTGACAAAGCTGCATCTGGCGAGCCAGCGCAGCACACGGAAACGCCGTTTACCTTCCCGCTGGTAAGCGGTCCCTATTTATCTACTTGCACCCGAAGGTGCTTTCGAACTGCTAGGTTGGCAGGCGCTGGGACCGAACGACGGGAGCGCACCCCGCCACGGGGATTCGAACCGCCGACCTTTTGATCGGCAAGTCCTAGGCGCTGAGGCTTTTACCCACAGCGCCACCCACGTCCCAATATATTTCATACATTAACATATATAGCTTTTTAGAAGGAAAGGAACTTAGTAAAAAACAGTTTCCAAAAGCAACTTCAGAGAGAAGCCTCTTCAGTTTACAATCTCCTTTCTTAGCCAGTTGCTGTTCCCATTAGCTCTTGCCCTTTGACCTTAGGAAGATGTGGCTCTGGGAGGCACAATAATCCTTACTATTTACCAACTCCTAATTAGTATGTTTGCAGCTTGATTGTATTCTGTAATATGTATGGTCAGTATGACCTTTGCTCCCAGCCTGTAATTTCCTTTTACAACCCCGAGGTACTGTTTATAGATCAGAGGGGCCTCTGTTCAAGAGGATAATGAATAGCTGCCAGCTGCTTTATGCCTGGCATGAAAGATACAAACATTTGCAAATATATATTTTTAAAGCTCATTTTAAAATACAGATCTTGATCAGATGCCTCATAATACAGATCTTGATCAGATGCCTCAAAAGTATTTAGCCAGCTGCTTTATGCCTGGCATGAAACATACAAACATTTGCAAATATATCTTTAAGCTCATTTTAACATACAGATGCCTCAAGCCCTCCCCACTTCTCGTGGGAACCCGCCCCCCCCCTTTGGAACAGCAGAAAGTTCTTCCTGGTCTCTAGCCGGATTCTCCTTTTTTGAATCCACTGGTTGCAGGTGCGCGCGTTTGCATCCAGTGGCGTAGGGTGGGGGGTGCAGGGGGGGCCGGCCGCACCGGGCGCAACATCTGGGGGTTAGGGTTAGGGGGCGCAAATCCACGGGTTAGGGGGCGCAAATCCACGGGTTAGGGGGCGCAAATCCACGGGTTAGGGGGCGCAAATCCACGGGTTAGGGGGTGCAAATTACTTGCCTTGCCCCGGGTGCTGACAACCCACGCTACGCCACTGTTTGCACCCCCCGCTCGCTTCCCCCCTCTGCACAACGACTCTGCGAGGAGGTAGGCGCGGCGGAGGGGACGCCACCGGCCCAAGATCGCGCGCAACGAGGGCAGTCAGGGGAGCTTCCCAGGTCCTTAATCCGAGCACAAAGCGCCTTCTCCGCGCGTGGCAAGACTCAGCCAGAAAGAAGGGTGGGGGGAAAGAAGAATCTCTCTCCTTCTCCACGCCTCTGAAAGCCCTGGAGCTCCGCCCCGGCAGCCCCGACCGGAGGTGCTGCGAGCAGAAGCGCCCAGAGGCGGCGGCGAGGGGCGCCATGCCTGCCCGGGAAGCAACAGGATGCGCTTCGCAGGTAGGAACGCAACCGGTGCAGTTGTAGGGGGGGGGGGCTGCTGCTGCTGGAGAGCCTGCAAAACTTGGGGTGGATCCCTGGATCCGGGAGGGCGGTGGCAGTTTCAGGCAGTGCTGGGTGAAAGAGATCCCATTTTTCAAGGCTTAGCCCGACCCGGATGCCCTGGCAAGGAGATGGGCTGCCCGGGCGCGCGCGCGCAGTTTTTGGAGACCTGGGGTGACTTCGGAACCAGCCTCCTTAGCCAGGTTTTTAAAGACCTTTGGAGGCAACCGAGCACTGGAAAGATTGTGGCGAACCCCCCCCCCTCCCGATATGTACTTCGAAACAAAAGCAATACTAAAAATAATTTTAATGATAATTGCAAAAAGAGTGAGTTGCTGCAGTCTCTGGTTTCCTCGCCTTATTGCAATCTAGGACGCCCGCCCCACCCCCCGGTTTAGTAAATAAAATGAGGACGGAAGAATGGGAAAGTGTTTAGGAGTGCAAGGAAGTCAGAGCCAAGTTCGGATTTCCTTCCATGACGACTACAAGAATATCAAACGCAAAATTCTTTAAAATAAAATACTTTTTGGGTGGGTGCCCCCGCATGCTGGTGCCTAAACGCATGTCTGGTCTGCCTGTTGGGCAACCCAGCGCTGCCTTTGCTGCAAATTACTGTATTTCCAAATATTTTGCATTTGGAGCGCCTATCAGCCGCAGCCAGCAGGGCCTTCAGATCTGCTGTGCTGTGCTGTAATTTGAAGCTTGCAGTACTGTGTCTACTTAAAGGGTAAAGGGGCCCCTGACCTTTAGGTCCAGTTGCAGATGACTCTGGGGTTGCGAGGGAGCCGGCGTACAGCTTCCGGGTCATGTGGCCAGCATGACTAAGCCGCTTCTGGCGAACCAGAGCAGCGCACAGAAACGCCATTTACCTTCCCGCCAGAGTGCTACCTATTTATCTACTTGCACTTAGACGTGCTTTCAAACTGCTAGGTTGGCAGGAGCAGGGACCGAGCAATGGGAGCTCACCCCGTCGCGGGGATTCGAACCGCCAACCTTCTGTTCAGCAAGTCCTAGGCTCTGTGGTTTAACCCACAGCGCCACCCGCGTCCCGTGTCTACTTTAAATAATAATAATTAAAAAATTAAAAGAAGCTCAGAAATGAATATTGGTAAATCTGCAGGGATGCCGTACTGGCTAGCAAATAGACTCCTCTCTCCCCTAGGTAGGTTTAGTAAATGGTTTTTCTGGTGACTGATATGTGGGCGGCCGGCTTGGGGTGTGGTGAATCTAGTGTGTTGAGTTTAGATAACATTTGAGGACCTCCTAACGAAGCCAAGACTTAAATGTGGAGCCATGCATGCAAAACACCCAAACACCTTCTAAACTTGGCATATCAAAGCACTTATCCTATCCAGTCCTTTTTTTCCTGGGTGGGATACAGGGGTACGCATACCCCTTAACGGGAGAAGAAACAAAAAAGATTTTTTAAATGGAATATGCAGAAATGGCCAGACTGGCAGGAAAGATCAGAAACCAGGAAGACCCGAGTAGTTTTAAATACTGGAATAACTTTCTAACATATTTGAGAGATCACTGTACAGTGGTGAGCCGCAAGACGAATGCCTCGCAAGACGAAAAACCCGCTAGACGAAAGGGTTTTCCGTTTTTGAGTTGCTTCGCAAGACGATTTTCCCTATGGGCTTGCTTCGCAAGACGAAAACGTCTTGCGAGTCTTGCGATTTTTTTCCGCTCCCCCCCCCTTTTTCTAAGCCGCTAAGCCGCTAATAGCCTTTTAGCCGCTAAGCCTTTAATAGCCGCTAAACCGCTAATAGCGCTAATCCGCTAAGACGCTAATAGGGTTGCTTCGCAAGACGAAAAAACCGCTAGACGAAGAGACTCGCGGAACGGATTATTTTCGTCTTGCGAGGCACCACTGTACACAGTTGAAATCAGTGGCAGGAATACAATGACATTTGTAATGTAACATGGATTTTGGGTACTATGATTATATCACAGATAGATTGCAGTAAAAGATGCAGGAATAAAATTTTGAATTGGAACCCATAGAGGGAAGAAAGGAGGTCTCAACGTTCGAAAGAACCATTTTCTTTTTTTAATGTGTGAAGATGTTATATTTATGGTGTATAACTTTTATGTAAAACTAATTCAAAAAATAATTCCTTTTTTTAGTATTGTTTTAGTTTCTTCTCTTAACACGGCGAATCGTCAATTTCGTTGCTACCACCGATGGCGGCCTTTTGTCCATTAACTGTATTTATTTCCCCCGATTTGAACTATAGAATGGTGATTTTCTTGAGTCAAAATGAGAGTACCCCTAAACATTTTTTTAAGAAAAAAAGTACTGATCATATCTTAGCGGTTCTCAGCCTGTGGGTCCCCAGATGTTGTTGGACTACAACTCCCATCATCCCTGAGTTCTGGCCTTGCTAGCTAGGGGTGATGGGAGTTGTAGTTCAACAACATCTGGCGGAATAGCTCTGTCTTACAGGCTTGATGGAAGAAGGTTAAATCCCTGAAGGGCCATGGTCTCATGGGACAGAGCATTCCACCAGGTCGGAGCCATCACTGAAAAGGCCCCGGTGGAGGATAGTCTGACTTCCTTAGGGCCCGGGACCTCTAAACTATGGCTGTTCATGGACCTTAAGGTCCTCTGCAGGGCAGACCAGCAGAGGCGGTCCCATAAATACGAGGGCCCTAAGCCACAAAGGGCTTTAAAGGTCAAAACCAGCACCTTGAACCTTACCCTTACTCCACTGGGAGCCAGTGCAACTTGTAAAGCACTCGATGAATATGCTCCCATGGCAGGGACCCCGTGAGGAGCCTCGCTGCAGCATTCTGTACCCGCTGGAGTTTCTGGGACAGTTTCATGGGCAGCCCCGTGTAGAGTGGATTACAGTAGTCAAACCCATAGCTGTCAACCGTCCTTTATTTGGCGGAAAACTCCCTTATCCCAGTGCCGTGTCCCACTGCTGTCCCTCATTGATGATGTCCCTTAAATTTCCCGGGTTTCAAAGGAAGCAGCTCCTCTCCCTCCCTCCCTGCCGGCCAGGGAGGAGGGAGTCTCCAACTGTGTTGCTTGGCTGCGTTGCTCACCCAATAAGGAGTCTAAGAACGACTGGGGGGATGGAGCTTGCATGCCTTGTGCCGATCAAATCGGCCACGTTGCCTGGGGATTCGCCTTTGCTCAGCGCTTCCCAGCGGAGAGGTGACGGTGGTTTTCCCTTGCTGCATCCCCTTTGCCGGGTTGCTGCGCTGTGGGAACCACCGCTTGAGGCTTCGTTTGGCTGCTGGCTGGGCTTTCTGCCTTTGGCTCGGAGGGGCTCAGAAGTCGAAGCTACCTGTGCCCGGAAAATCCCTTATTTTGGCTGCTGATCCCTTATTTTTGAGGCTGCTGGTCCCTTATTTTCAAATCTGTAAGTTGACAGCTATGGTCAATCCTGTTCTAGTGCAGGTTGTAAACCACTAGTCCAACCCCATGCAATGCAAAAATTGCAACGAAAGAACCCAAGATATTCAACTCTTTTTTAAAAATCCAACGAAGGAGATTCTACCACTTTCCACTGTCAAACAGCTCTTGCCACCAGACAGTTGTTCCTCGTGTTTAGTTGGAACCTCCTTTCTTATCATGTGACTCCAAAATGGAAATGTTTCTCATTTCAGGCAACAGTGAGGTTTGAGGACGTCATTCTTTATTTCTCCAGGAGTGAGTGGAAGTCCCTAGCCAAGTGGCAGAAGGAGCTGTACTGGGAAGTGTTGACAGACAACTATGAAGCTTTGCTCGTTGCAGGTAAGGAGAATCCCGCGGCTGAAAAAAGGCCTCCGCAAATATCGCAACTTGACTTTCTATGAATGAGAAAACGCAGATCCATCTTGTTCTCAAGATGTGGTGCATGCTCTGGTTATCTCCCGCTTGGACTACTGCAATGCGCTCTACGTGGAGCTACCTTTGAAGGTGACCTGGAAACTGCAACTAATTCAGAATGCGGAGGCTAGACTGGTGACTGGGAGCGGCCGCCGAGACCATATAACAGTATTCCTGAAAGATCTACATTGGCTCCCAGTACGTTTCCGAGCACAATTCAAAGTGTTGGTGCTGACCTTTAAAGCCCCACACGGCCTCGGCCCAGTAGACCTGAAGGAGCGTCTCCACCCCCATCATTCTGCCCGGACACTGAGGTCCAGCACCGAGGGCCTTCTGGCGGTTCCCTCATTGCGAGAAGCAAAGCTACAGGGAACCAGGCAGAGGGCCTTCTCAGTGGTGGTGCCTGCCCTGTGGAACACCCTCCCACCAGATGTCAAGGAAACAAACAACTATCTGACTTTTAGAAGACATCTGAAGGCAGCCCTGTTTAGGGAAGTTTTTAATATTTGATGTTTTATTCTGTTTTTAATCTGTTGGGAGCTGCCCAGAGTGGCTGGAGAAACCCAACTGGATGGGCGGGGTAAAAATAAACAACAACACAACTACTACTACAGTGGTACCTCAGTTTAAGAACAGTCTTGTTTACGAACGATTTGGTTTACAAACTCCGCAAAACCGGAAATAGTGTCTTGGTTTGAGAACTTTACCTAAGAACGGAATCTGAACGTTGGTAGGGCACTGGCGGTGAGAGGCCTCATTAGGGAAACCGTTTAAGAACGGTTTTGGTTTAGGAACAGACTTTTGGAACGGATTAAGTTCATAAACTGAGATATTACTGTATTATTATTATTCCTTAGTTACTTGTAACTAGGGAAGCCATTCCTACGAATTCATTTTGGCTGACTGCCAGAAACCTACTGCCCATCAGGATTCAAAATCTGTGGGACCAGAAATTCACAGAAGACTGGTGTAAATTTACAGACTATTTGAAAAGTAATTGTAATGATCAGACTACGTTTGTAGGTTTGCAAGAAGTTTTGTGAGGTGAATTATTGGAACTGTTGTAAAAATGGATAAAGGGGAGGATGGTTAGTTAAGATAATTAAAGGCAATATGAATTTAAGAAATGCATAAGAAGTGGTTAAAACGGTGGCTCATCAGAGGTGCTGATGGAAGTCCAAAAAAAAGATTGCATAAGTGGTGAAGTTTTGTGGTATGTATTATAATTTATATGTTAAAATTAATAAAAATTATTATATATAAAAAAAGAAACCTACTGCTCATCTGCAGCCAAAATTCATTAGTCTCTTTTCAGGCTGGAAAACCTCAAAATCATTGCCAGTGAATCAGAGTGGGTTTTTTTAGGGAGCAGGGTAGCAGCAGTAGATGAAATGGAGCATCTTAACTCACTTTTTTCTAAAAGAAGGGCTGATGAAGGAAAGGGAGAATTGCAAGCATGCAGAGAACAAGTCCTCTTTGTTGAAATATTGTTTCCAACGCTGTGTTTCCTGTCTCCCTCATTTCCCTCTGCGAGCAGGGCAGCCGGTCACCAAAGCAGAAGTTGTGGCCTGGCTTGAGCAGTGTGAACGTCTGGACATCGAAAGAACCCAGGAATCTAGAGTCAGAGACCCTGCTGCAAATGTTTCTGCAAGTGAGTGGAAATTAAAAGTGGAATGAGTTGGAAGGGAAGGGTGCTGAGACTCCAAATCTACGGAAAAGCTCCGGAAGGGGGAGGTCTCAGCTGACAATTATAACTCCTGAAAGAACAATGGCCAGCCGTTAATTTAATACATTGCAAGGGGTGTAACCCGACTGGATTCTTACCAATCCAAATGGAAAGCTAGGTAAAGGTGAAGGGACCCCTGACCATTAGGTCCAGTCGTGGCCGACTCTGGGGTTGTGGCGCTCATCTAGCTTTATTGGCCAAAGGAGCCGGCGTACAGCTTCCAGGTCATGTGGCCAGCAGGACTAAGCCGCTTCTGGCGAACCAGAGCAGCGCACAGAAACGCCTTTACCTTCCCACCACAGTGGTACCTATTTATCTACGTGCACTGGTGTGATTTCGAACTGCTAGGTGGGCAGGAGCAGGAGCAGGGACCGAGCAACAGGAGCTCACCCCGTTGCGGGGATTTGAACCACCAACCTTCTGATCGGCAAGCCCTAGGCTCTGTGGTTTAACCCACAGCACCACCTGCATCCCTAATGGAAAGCTACACTGCATGAAAAGCTAAGAGGCTTTCGGGTTTTCCCCACAGGCCCTGATAGCTGTAGGTTATGAGAAAGCTAGAGCAATAATCCGCCAACGAATTTGGGATGTGGAACTGCAATGCCACGTGAGCGAGATGAATAAACACCCAGCAATGAAAGATAACGGGAGAGGATTTACCCCAGCAAATTATTTGTCAAAATTACAAATACCTAAATACAGACGGTCATTTACCCTCGCTAGATTCAACGTGCTGGGCAGATTTGAGGGTAAACTATACGCAGAACGAGTCTGCCCCTGCGACTTGATGGAGGTAGAAACTGTCTCTCATGCCTTGTTACGCTGCCATTTCTACGGGGATATACGCTCGGTATTTATGACCCTTGCTATGCAAAAATCTCCAAATGAATCCGAACTTCAGTGTCTAAAATCCCTGGTAGAGGACAAGGATCTTGAGATCACGTTAAGGGTAGCCAAATTCTGTGCGTTTGCCATAAAACTTAGGGAACAAGCTGTGCTATAATGATTAAGGTTTTAAATGATAATTTTAGGTTATATGTTAGTGACTAAGTTTTAATTTATATATTTTTTAAACTGTTGCTATATCTGTATTGTCCCTGTTATACCTAATTGCAAATTCAAATGTATCCCCCATTGTGTTTTATGACTTCCTTGATATTGTATGTGGGCTGGACCGAAATAATAAAATTCTATTCTATTGCAAGGGGCGCAACTTGATAACTCTTGAGGTCCATCCGACTCTACAGTGAAAAATTGCAAATGGAAGGTTTCTTTAAAAAAGGAATTGATGAACCTAAATTAGTTACGCCTACTAATTGCAATGGTTCTGCTCTGAGTACTGGCGGATGCGACCCTTTCACCTCTTCCGTTGTCCAAAGAGAAATAATTCCACGTTCTCTCTTTCCTTCCAGCAAATGATGGGCCCTCGAAGGCACGTTGTGAGGAGCGCAGAGGGCAGGCAGGATCTCTCGAGACGCTACGTGACATGTCTAAGGAGGTAGTGACCCAACGCGGTGATATAGGGGGCACCCCCAAGCAGACGTATTTGTCGGCCGGACCACAAGGGAACCCTGCGAAGGCTGAGCCTCTTTTGCACATTGAACATGGGCAAAGTCCAGCAAGCCCGGCCTGCTCCCAGAGGCCTGCTGCTCCACCAAAACAGTATAAATGCAGGGAGTGTGGCAAGAGGTTCCGGTTGGAAGGGCTGCTTCGAATGCATCAGGAGATCGCCGCAAGGAAGACGTCCTTTGCTTGTTCTGCCTGCGGACTGTGCTTCACAAGCCCTTTGTCTCTGAGGACGCACCAGAGAACGCACCTTCCTGCCGCGGTGGACGGGGAGAAGGCCTCTCCCAGGAAGAACCGGCTGAGTGCGCAGCAAGCGCCCGAGAACTTGCACCAGTGTGCAGACTGCGGGGACCGATTCCGCGGGTTCCTCGACCTCCTCTGGCACCAGAAAACCCACGAGGAGCCGAGGCCCCGTCCGTGCGTCCAGTGCGAGGCCTCGTTCATGCATCAGATCGACCTCGCCACGCACGAGGAGGGCCACTTGGAGGAAGCGCTGAAGAGGCACGATCGGCGCAGGCGGAAGTGTCTCTGCAAGCTCGCCTTCCGGCTGCACTTCGCGTCGCTGCTCGGGCGTGGCGTGCAGGGTAACCAGGCCTCCTCGCAGGAGCAGGACCTCGAGCGACCGCACCAGGACAAAGATGTCAAAGGGGAAACACCGTATCCCTGCACCGGGTGTGGGCTGCTGTTCAAGAGGGGAGAGAACCTCGAGGTACATTACAGGTACTGCAGCAAGCAGTGGCTGCAGAAGCCTCCGTTAAACGCCTCCTCCCCAGTCGCTCTGCAAGGGGAACAGCGGGAGGCTAGCGACAAGCAAGGGGTCGCCCGGCCGGCTTCCGAGGGCAGCCACGGCGACACGGGGCTCCCTCGCCCTCCCTCGCAAGCCTCCTCCGCTCAGCACGCCTGCCCGGAGTGCAGCAAACACTTCACCTCCAAGGGCAGCCTCCGCAGGCACAAGAAGAAGCACAAGGCTGCGTTGCAGCGCCGCCAGAGCATAGCCCACACGGGCGGCGGTAGCGGTGGCTCCGGTGGCCCTGCCACAGCTTGCGCGACCAAGAAGCTGTACAAATGCCAGGAGTGCGGGAAGAAGCTGGTGTACAAGTGGCAGATGGCCGCTCACCAGCAAGGCCACGCCGAAGGGAAGAGTTTTATATGCCACCGCTGCGGGGAAAGCTTCGGGTTCAAGAGCGGTTTGCAGGAACACCGGTGTGCAGCAAGAGGCGCCGCGCCGGGCAAGGCCAGGTTGCTTTGCTGGTGCGGGAAGAGCTTGTCGAAGCTTCACTTTTCCAAGCATCAAGAGTTCCACGCGGGACTGAGGTATATGTGCCTCCTTTGCGGGAAGATGTCGAGTTTCCAGAGTTCGGCCATCGCGCATCGCCGCGGCCATGTCAGAAGGGGGCAGCTGCTCGCGGCGGCGAGAGGCTCTGATCTCCTTTCCCACACGATAGAAAAGGTGTACATTCCTCAGGGACCGCAGCTGCAGAATCCAGAGGGGACGGGGCAGCCCAGCGATGGCTTTCCGACCGGCCAGGAGGCCCCGGCGGAGGGTGGGAAGAGCCCTCGGCAGAAATGGAAGCTGAAATCTCCCCGGAACACACTCCCGAAGCCCTTCAGGTGCAGGGACTGCGGGAAAGCCTTCGCCTACCTGGCTCGCCTGCTGTCGCACCGCAAGGAACACACGGGCGACTTCCCCTTCCAGTGTGCCGAATGTGGCAAGGGCTTCATCCGCAGAAATTACCTCAGCCTGCACTGGAAAATACACACTAAAGAGAGTGTGACCGCCTCTGGATCAGGGCCACAGCGTCCTCCTGGCTTTCCTAGATTCCACCTCCTGTCCTCATCCCCGACTGGGGCTGATGGGAGTTGGGAACCCAAATGATATCTAGATAATAATAATAATAATAATTTATTATTTGTACCCTGCCCATCTGGCTGGGTTTCGCCAGCCACTCTGGGCGGCTTCCAACAAAGCTTAAAAATACATTAAAATGTCACACATTAAAAACTTCCCGGAACAGGGCTGCCTTCAGATGTCTTCCGAATGTCAGGTAATTGTTTATCTCTTTGACATCTGCTGGGAGGTGTTCCACAGGGCGGGAGCCACCACCGAGAAGGCCCCCTGTCTGGTTCTTTGCTTCTCACAGGGAGGGAACCGCCAGAAGGCCCTCGGAGCTGGACCTCAGTTTCCGGGCAGAAAGATGAGGGTGGAGACGCTCCTTCAGGTATATCTAGAGAGAACCATGTTGGCTCTGGAGGAAGGGAAGTGCCTGCTGGCCGGCTGCTTGTCATGGGTGGGCAGAAGAATGGTTCCCTCAAGCCTGTGAACTTGAGAGCAGCTCCCAGAATCCTCTGTCATTGCACATGGTGCCTCTGAACATGATGTTCCTCAGCACAGGGAAGCAGCACCCCTAGAGGCTGCTGGGAAAACAGCACCCCAGAGCATGCAGCAAGTCGGAAAAGGGGTGAGCAAGACTCGAATCCATGCCATGCATTTAGAGGACGTTGCTTCTTCTACAAAATCCCTGGGAACTGTAGCTGATCCTCTGTGGAGCTACGGTTCTCCATGTGCGTTAAGTGGTCTTTGCACGTTGGATGCAGATGTGACCTTAGAATCATAGAATCATAGAGTTGGAAGAGACCACAAGGGCCATCGAGTCCAACCCCCTGCCAAGCAGGAAACACCATCAGAGCACTCCTGACATATGGTTGTCAAGCCTCTGCTTAAAGACCTCCAAAGAAGGAGACTCCACCACACTCCTTGGCAGCAAATTCCACTGTCGAACAGCTCTTACTGTCAGGAAGTTCTTCCTAATGTTTAGGTGGAATCTTCTTTCTTGTAGTTTGGATCCATTGCTCCGTGTCCGCTTCTCTGGAGCAGCGGAAAACAACCTTTCTCCCTCCTCTATAGGACATCCTTTTCTATATTTGAACATGGCTATCATATCACCCCTTAACCTCCTCTTCTCCAGGCTAACCATGCCCAGCTCCCTTAGCCGTTCCTCATAAGGCATCGTTTCCAGGCCTTTGACCATTTTGGTTGCCCTCCTCTGGACACGTTCCAGTTTGTCAGTGTCCTTCTTGAACTGTGGTGCCCAGAACTGGACACAGTACTCCAGGTGAGGTCTGACCAGAGCAGAATACAGTGGCACAAACCTTAGTTTGATGTCCTCTTTTTCTCGCTATGTACGAGCCTCTCGGGTCACCCTCCACCCCACATAGACCTCTGGTTATAGGGCAGTATATAAATAATAATACTACTACTACTACTGCTGCTGCTAATAATAATAATAAATAATAATAATAATAATAATATATTGCCCTAATGACCTAGATAGAAAAGCAGAGCTATAAATCTGCATCTGCTTTAAAGATAGATTTCCACTAGTGGCTGATTTATTAATTGGCTTAAGTCATGGCCAAATTATCTCAGGTGTTCAATTCTGTGGAATACTTAACTTGGGGTGCTTTGAGATTTTGAATGTTCTTCAGTCAAATATGTGAATACAGATCCGCTCTGGATATTGTGTGGTTTTGGTGTGTGTATGTGTGAATATCAACATTCACCAGTGCACCTGAGTTGTCTCAATTAATTTTTCTAATTAGCGGAATTTGCCTGGAATGGGGCAGCACTCCCACGTGCCGAATTTCATCGTTCACTGTTTACAGCAGAGGACTTATTAACCGTTTTGCTATTTGTCATTGTGTTTTTATTATGCTTTTATTATTGACGTTCTGTAATGTGTTTTTAATGTCCCCCCCCCCACGCCCTGGGATCTTTTGATAAAAGGGTGGTATGTAAGTTGAATAAATAAAATAAAAATAAAAGACAGGTTGGGATTCTCTTTAAATTTGCCTTCAGCCGTCAGAACTGGAAATAAGCCGAATGACGCAGGATTTTAACCATCTGGTGCAGATTTCACTTTGCAGAGCGTTAGGCATGGCGATGCTGTTATCATTCACCATCCTGGATATACTGAGTTTCACTACAGTTCCCATCACTGGTGTCCATTTGACATTTTGGCTGGGTGCTCATGGGAGTTGTAGTCCAAAGCAGCTGGGGTTGGCTAAAGCAGGCATAGGCAAACAGCCCTCCAGATGTTTTGAGACTACAGTTCCCATCATCCCTGACCACTGGTCCTGCTAGCTAGTAATAATAATACCTTTATTGTCATGTACAACCTGTGTACAATGAAATTAACTGAGCCTCCCCCACCCCGCAAACACTCAGTCTCTTATCGAACAACACACCACCTCGCAAGTCAATTTCGCTATGTTATTTTCCGTTCAACAGCCTAACAGCCCATGGATAGAAGCTATTTTTTAGCCTGTTGGTACGGCTGCTTATGGGACGCATGTGGTGCTGTGGGTTAAACCACAGAGCCAAGGACTTGCCAATCAGAAGATCGGCGGTTCAAATCCCCGCAACAGGGTGAGCTCCCGTTGCTCGGTCCCTGCTCCTGCCAACCTAGCAGTTCAAAAGGACGTCAAAATAGGTACCACTCTGGCGGGAAGGTAAACGGCATTTCCGTGTGCTGCTCTGGTTCTCCAGAAGCGGCTTAGTCATGCTGGCCACACGACCCGGAAGCTGTACGCTGGCTCCCTCGGCCAGTGAAGCGAGATGAGCGCCGCAACCCCAGAGTCGGTCATGACTGGACCTAATGGTCAGGGGTCCTTTAATCTTTACCTTTTTACAGCGTCTGTGTATCTGTGCAGGTCTTGATGTTCAAACGTGCTCCAATCAGTACTTTCAAAACAATCCTGGAGCTGACTGAAAGTGCCTTCTGGCCAGATTCTAACTGTTTTTATAACTGGCTGAATTCTTCTCCTAAGGGGGATCTCCTTCGGACATTAAAAAAGTGAAGAATGGTTAGATGAACCTAAGTGGGGGAGGGAAATGGCCCTGTATGCCTCAGACTGGAATACACAAAATCCAAAATATTCTTCCCTTTACTAGGGAAATTCACATACTGTTCAAACTTAGGAAAAAATTCAGGCCTGATTGAAATCCCCTGCCACAAGGAAGGCATCCTCTGGGTGGATTTGCTGCTGCCTAGAGATGATGTCATAGGGATGTGGGTGGCACTGTGGTCTAAACCAGTGTTCCCCACCCTTGGGCCTCCAGCTGTTTTTGGACTACAATTCTCATCATCCTTGACCACTGGTCTTGCTAGCGAGGGGTGATGGGAGTTGTAGTCCAAAAACAGCTGGAGGCCCAAGGTTGGGGAACACTGGTCTAAACCACAGAGCCTATAGGACTTGCTGATCAGAAGGTCGTCGGGTCCGAATTCCCGCAATGGGGTGAGCTCCCATTGCTCAGTCTCAGCTCCTGCCAACCTAGCAGTTCGAAAGCACGCCAGTGCAAGTAGATAGATAGGTACCGCTCTGGCGGGAAGGTAACCGGCATTTCCATGCGCTGCTCTGGTTTGCCAGAAGTGGCTTAGCCATGCTGGCCACATGACCCGGAAGCTGTACGCTGGCTCCCTCGGCCAATAAAGCGAGAGGAGCACTGCAACCCCAGAGTTGGCCACGACTGGACCTAATGGTCAGGGGTCCCTTTACAGATGACGTCATATAGCTTAGAAAGTGCCACTCTGGACTTCCGGGTTGACGCGATCTGGAAATGGCGGATTCCCTCCGAGCTCCGGAGGGAACCGGCTCCACTGAGGATGGGTCTTTGCCGCGCCGGCGACGCGGGGACCCTTAAAAACCGCAGGCGCGGAAGCCTGCGGACTGAAGACTCGGCGGGTGCCTTAAGCGCCCCCCCTGATTCGCAAAGAGCCTTTTTAAAGGCTGCGGAGGGGATACGGGGGTGGCGTGGCACTGAGAGTCGATCGCTACCTCGGTGGAGTGAAGCCGCGAGCCATGACCAGAGAGCGCTGACTTCCTTCCTTGAAAATTTGGACTGAAAGAATTACCCGTGAGTAAGACGGATTGGGACTTTATAAAAATTTCACCTTGAATTGGAGACGATCGGGGGGTGTGCTAAAAGGAAGTCCGCACCCCCCCCCTTGCAGACGACCTAAGCAACGGCATAAGAGCTAAGCTGGAGAGCCTACCCCTGGTGGGGTGAGTTAAAAAGGACATTAACTTCTAAGATTTAACTAAAGGAAATTTTGGGCTGGAGAGTGGAGTTTTGGGAACCTTCTTTTGCTTCAAATAACCCCCCCCTCCCGGGCCCGGGAACGTCCTGCCTTGGTGCCTGTGCAAGAGCTGCGGAGTTTGACAGCTGTCAAAGCTGCCAAACGGTCGGTTTAAAGTGCAAAAATTGTCATCTCTTGACTAAGACGAGCTATAATTGAGCTAAAACTGTTGGAAACAAAGTAATAATAATCAGTTAAAGGATTGTTGGTGAAAAGGCTAATAAGTAACCAGATTCCCCCTAGGGGGAATTCTGTGAAACTACAATGGATACAATGGCTGCGGAAGGAAAGTTACTAGTGGAAATCGAAAGGATGTTTCAATTGGTGGGAATCTTACAAGAACAGAGCTTGGCCATGAATAAACAACTTGAGACTATGACCTTGGGAACAGGCAACTCTGCTCTTTGTATTGAGGACCTCAACGAGAAAGAATTCGCAGCTGAATGGGAAACAATACCTATAGAGTTGGAAGAGACTAAACAACAAGAAAAAGAAGAAGTAATCCTGGGAAGCAACAACCAAAAGCTGACATCTGCGGAACATAAGCAAGGAAACGCTGGGAACATATCTACTACAAGTCTGCGAAAGATACAGAAGAAGAAGGAGGAGGTCCCGGGACAAAATGGAATACAGAAATTTAAAATAAAGAAATATGCTTGGGGCCTCCGTTTGGACTTTGACCTTGAAGAGATAGGTTTTGTGGAAATTCTTCAGCAGTTACTTTTGAATCCCCTTGTGGGAAGAGGAAACACTTTGATGGTGAAAGAACTTTTCCCAGACTTGATGACTGACATAAAGGACTACCAACGGGACAGGCGGAGAGGGACTGAAAGGGACTTGAAAGCCTCGGACGTGAGGAACCCAGGCTGAGAAATTCGAATTTGGATCTTTATTGGGAAGGGACAAAAACCGGGGATGGGAGGGAGGGAAGAAGAGACTTTTAAAATCTCTTAAGACTTTTAGGTTTGGTTAATATGACTCTTAATTAAGATAAAATGAAAATCGATGGAAGAGAACTTAAGTCCAACTTAGGAAAATTAATTTTTATTATAAAATAAGGTAATAAGATGAATAACATTGTTAAGAGGAGAAACACCAACTTGCTGATATAATCTTGAAACTGGGATGCACGAGGGGAGGTGGGGGAAGTCAGGGAACAAGTTTATGAAACGGGGATTTGTTGATTTTATACATGTTTTTGTCTTTTTCTTTTCTTTGTGTATGTTTTGTCTTTATAAAACCAGAAAACCAAATAAAAATTTTATTAAAAAAAAAAAAAAAAGAAAGTGCCACTCTGACAGTGGAATGTAAATGGCTATGATGGGAGTTGTAGTCCCAAAACATCTGGAGGGCCGAGTATGCCTGGGCTAAAGGTTTCATAAGCCAAGCAGAACATCTGTCTGCTCACTCCCTCAGAAATTTCCAGCGGAGTGCAGAGGGGAAAGTACATGAGGGAAAGCTCAGCTGTTCATGTCCCTTGTGACGCTACAGAAACAGCTGGACGGGACCTCCAGGGGTCATCTATTCCAACCCCTGCAGTGCTGCAATCTCAGCTAAAGGATCCACGACAGATGGCCATAAAATCCATTATTATCATCATATGTTTAGGTTTTATATCCATGCCATCTTTTTCTGATTAGTTTACGCGTGACTGTCACATAGTACGCGTTGACGACGAGGTATGACGGAAAAGCAAATAATAAATAAGGAACGAGAATCCCTTCCACCTTCTGAGGGAGTCCGTTTCACGGTCAGAACAGATCTTACTTCCATCTTCCTGAGGTTTAGTCAGAATCTCCTGCAACTCGGAGCCATGGGTTCGAGTCCTGCCCTCCAGAGCAGGAGAAAACCAGTTCGCTCCATCTTCCATGGGACACCTCGTGGTATTTGAAGTTGCCTACGATAGCACCTCCCAGCCTTATTTAACCAAGCTAAACACCCCCCAACTCCTTGGACTGTTCCTCATAAGGTCTGGTCTCTTACCATTTCGGCTGCTTTCCTCTGCACACCTTCCAGATTCTCTGTATCCTCCTTAAACCGCGGCGCCCACAACAGCAGCTCTTAACCGCTAGATTAGGGCAGCCTTTGCCAGGCCGCTTCCCTTGTCCCCCTGATGTTGTGGGTCAGAGCTCCTGTCAGAGCCAGCGTCAGATAGCTGGGGCTGCCAAGAGTTATGAAAAGCAACACCACCCCCCTTGCGGGAGGCTGGATTAGCTGTGTTATTTCCCCCCCGCCCCGAGTTTTCCACCATTCTGGCAGATGGGAATTGTGGTCCATAGAAGCAGTATGGCACAGTGGTTAGCGCCAGCCTTGAAAGTGGGAGACCAGGGTTGAAATCCCCTCCTCGGCCGTGAAACTCGCTGGGTGACCACCACCTTGAGCTCCTTCAAATAAAAGTGGGATATAACTGGTTAATTAGCCGTGTGTGTGTGTATATGTGTGTGTTACTGGGTTATTGTTTTTATGTTGATTTTATATAAAGTCATACCTTGGGTTACAGACGCTTCATGTTGCATTTTTTTGGGTTGCAGGACCGCCGAAACCCGGAATTACTGGAATGAGTTACTTCCGGGTTTTGGCGGTTGCACATGCGCAGAAGTGCTAAATCACGTTTTGCGCATGCGCAGAAGCGCTGAATCGCAACCCGCGCATGTGCAGGTGCGTGTTGCGGACATGCATCCCGCACAGATCATGTTCGCAACCCGAGCGTCCACTGTATTGCAATCTTTTCTGTGAACCGCACTGAGACCTCCGGGTATAGGACGGTACATGAATTCAGTAAATAATCATCATAATAATATTAAGAAGTCTAAAACATCTGGAGGGTCCCAGATGTTGAAGCATCATGCAGATGGGAAGGCAAAAGGCACCCCAAGGACGGCAATGTTCTATGGCTCTCCTCCTCCTCCCAAAGTAAACTCTTTTTCCCCCAAATCAGAAACGATCGGTTCGGGGGAATTATTGTCAAAAGTGACCTCTGGCACCAATTCTTTTTTTTAAAGGGTCCGCTGAGAATCTTTCCCCAGTAACTAAAATACACAAGACAAACCGTTCGGCTGGTTGTTTGCTTTTTCTTTCCAAAAAGTGTTTATAGATACATAGGCAAATCAGTCCGTTAAATGAGTTACAGAAAACGCTTGAAGAACAGCAACTAACCCACAATCCTACTCATACAAAACACGTTCCGCACTTGTCCACACAAACACGCACTCCATCACACGCACACTTAGTGTGTCCTTCCCAGCTAACACCCTTCTCTGCCCTTGCTTACGGCTGCCCTGGTATTAAATCCGAGAGCCAGTTGCCCATCGAATGCCCCGTCCGGCTGGCACCCTCTTCCACTGCAGAGCGCCACTCGCTGGTGGGCTCTGTGTTTCTTGCAGTGTATTGACAATGAGCAGCCCTCTCCCCGCAGCCCATGTTTCGGTATTTGTAGAAGGGACACCGCAGACATTTCTTCCGTGAGGGTAGCCGTACGCCCTTGCCACTTCCCCGCACTCAAAACACCACTGCATGCATTCATTCGCCAATGGCCGAGCTGTCGCACACAATCATTCGCGATTCCTTTTCGGGTCCACGTACAAAGCCCAAGCACAGTGCAACAAAACCTTACACAGTCATACTTGGGGTTGAAGTTGCATCCGTTGAGCGTTTTCGGGTTGCGCTCTGCGGTGACCCGGAAGTAATGGAACGTGTTACTTCCGGGTTTCGCCGCTCGCGCATGTGCTCAAAATGATGTCACACGCATGTGTGGAAGCGGTGAATCGCGACCCGCACAATGCGTGTTGCGTTCGCTTCCGGATGCGAATGGGACTCCGGAACAGATCCTGTTCACATCCAGAGGTACCACTGTATACCCACACGTTGTCATCAGGCACACACACAAGCACTCTTGTTCTCTCTGCCCTCCGTTTGCCCACCTGGAGGAAATTCCGGAGCTCTGTACACAAACAACGTCCATTTGATTTCGATTTAGGAACCGCTCGCTCGCCCCTAGCTGCTGGGCACAAACAACCTTCTGTGCTTGGACGTGGAGCCGCGCGGACGGCCCCGGCCCCGGCGGGAGACGCCGTGAGGGCTCCGCCTTGCCCTGGCCGCCTCCCCCCGGCCGACGCTCCCCGGGTGCGGTCCGGAAAGGCCCCCTTCGTCTTTAAGAGGGAAGAAGAGAGGGGTGCAGTCGGGGGCTGCCTCTGGAGGGGCTGCCTCGGGTTTCGGAGGAGAGGAGGCGTGTGCCGCCGGTGCGACCGTTTGCGACGCCCTCTCCTGCCGGGCCGCGGCCCTGTCCTGCTGCGCCATGGCCCTCTCTTGCCGCAAGTACCGCAGTTCGTCCCGGATGTCGGTGAGGACCCCAAGAAGCCGGAACTGGAGTTCCCTGTCGCGGGCCCGCTCGTCTCGCTGCTGGGCCCTCTCCTCTTGCCACATGGCGAGCTCCTGGTGGTACAGCTGGTCCCATTGGTCCTCCATGTCCATCAGCCGCCGGATGTTAGTCCGCCAGGTTTCCCGGCCACCCTCGCGCCGGCGGGAGCACCCCATCCCTCTGGGCAAGGCCCGTGGGGCGGGAGCCCGGTCTGCGTGAGGCGAAGCAGAGGATGGCAGGGACTCTTCGGTGAGGGCCCCGGTGTGGAGAGGAGACCGGGAGTGTTGCTCCTCCTCCTGCTTCTCCCACGCAGGCCCCAGAAGCCCCCGGGGCAAGGAGCCCGTCTCCGCGGCCTGGCTGGCCGCCTCCTCTTCCTCCGGCTGAGAGGGGTCAAGGGAGCGGCCCAGTGCGGGGACGTCAGTGCCCCCCTCGTGGTCCCAGTCTGAGTGGGCGTCCGCGTGGCTGAGGGCGTCCTCCGGCAGGGAGGCGGCCGACCCCTGAGAGTTGCACCTGCGGATAAGCATCGCGGCCTGCCGGCTGGACAACTTCATATCTTCTTCGGCCGACAGCCGAGCTTCCAGCGCCGCTTGGAGACTCATCCTGCCCTCCGCCTCTGGGCCGTCCTGATCCTCTTCCTCGGAAGCGTAGGAGACGAGGGATTCGTTTCGGAGCTGGGGGGACATGGCGGACATTTCCGGGGTCCGTAGCTCTGGTCCCGATTCGGCTGCAATGGGTGAGAGAATGACATCAAGACAGGAAATACAAGTCTAAGACAGACACAGACTCTGACAAGTCAGTCATGCACTTTCACGTAGCTGCTGAAAAACTTTCAGTATCCTGGTTTCTAAGAATTATTGGGCAACGCCACATACAAGCTGCCAGCTTGATACCGTATTTTTCGCTCTATAAGATGCACCTTTTCCCTCCTAAAAAGTAAGGGGAAATGTGTGTGTGTCTTATGGAGCGAGTGCAGGCTGCACAGCTATCCCAGAAGCCAGAACAGCGAGACAGATCACTGCTCTCCCTCTCGCTGTTCTAGCTTCTGGCTTAGCCGCACTCTGTCCTTTCCCCCACGTCCCGGAAAAGCCCCCAAGAGCTGCACTCCCTTTAAAGAGCCGCATGGAGCATGTGTGCGGCTCTTGGGGGCTTTTCCCTGAGGAGGGAGAAAGACTGGCTACCCTTCTCCCTCCTTGGGGAAAAGCCCGCAAGCGCCGCACACACACTCCGTGCGGCTCGATTAAGGAGCACTGAACAGAGCCTGGGATACACACAGGCTCTGCTCAGCACTCCCTTTAAAGAATATTTTTTTCTTGCATTCCCCTTCTAAAAACTAGGTCCGTCTTATGGTCAGGTGCGTCTTATGGAGTGAAAAATACGGTATGTATTTTGGGAAGTTTGTCAACTCACTATGTACTAATATATCGTAACCAAATTTTGCACGGTGCTCCCAGAGATGAAGGAACAGGTTTCCCTCTATGTTTGGGTACCACCGGACACCATTACGAACCAAGATGGTGGAAGGAACCGTTTAAAACGGCATCAATTTTTAACTGCTTAATATCAAAAACGGCACGGATTTTAACTGCCGAAATCAAAAGTTCTGGTTTCTCAGAACCGCCCAGCAATGCCGGGTATGAGGCTGCAAGTTCATTCATAAACCACTCAATTGCCAAAGTGGCGTGCAAGTATCAAACATAGTGCAAATTACGTAGCATGGATTTATTCTTAGCCTCAAGTCTGCACCACCTGCTGCCTCCTCAGTTTCCCCCTCCAAATTCAAGAGGTGGGCAGTTAAAGACAGGGACTCATCCTGACTAGCTGCAGATTTCCACACCCCAGGATTTTCCAGCCGCACCTACAGCAGGGAAGCGATGAAGCCCAGGGGCAGACAACAAGTTCTGCACCCAGTGACCCCATGACAGGGCCTTCTCTGTGGTGGCTCCGTTTCCAGAAAGCCCTCTGACTCTTAGAAGACATCTGACGGCAGCCCTGTATCAGGAAGCTTTTAATATGCGGTGCTTTTCTGAGTTTATAATTTGTTGGAAGCCGCCCAGAGCGGCTGGAGCAGTTGGACGGCATTTAAATATTATAATTGTTGTTATTGTTATGGCCAGTCCGTTTGCAACGGCACCAGCGATACCCACCTGAGCTGCTCTGCCCTTCGCCTCGACTGTATTCGCAAAGCATAGAGGAGGGGTCGGGGCTCTGGACCCCCACGCGAGGCACCAGGGAGCCTTCCACGTCAGGGAGGGAGGAGGGCTGCCCGTTGGTGTCAATGTAGATACTGGGGTGGTTGAGGCCCGGTTGCAAAGCTACAAAGGACTGCTTGAACGCTCCAGGGAAGAAAATCTCTGCAGGGCAAGAAAACAAGCAAAGCGTTGCATTATCCCTTCAAGTCAACGTCAGGCAGCGGTCAACAGCGGGAGGAGTCTCATAGAAAAGGTATAAACCAGGGTGGGTAAAAATCAATGATTTTTTTAAAAAAAATTAAATGGATTTTTTTATTTAAATCAGATTTTTAAAATTTAAATCGGATTTTTTAAATTTAAATTGGATCTTTAAAATTTAAATCGGATTTTTTTAAATTTTAATTAAATTGGATCTTTAAAATTTAAATCGGATTTTTAAAATTTAAATCAGATTTTTAAAATAAAATGCTTTTGGAGGAAAAATCTTTCTAAAGATAGTTTTCTATTTAAGCTACATTCTAGTCCAAAGGCTATTCATCCGGAAATAAGGATTTGTTTTAAGTTTTTCATGTGTGTTAAAACTCAGTCTGGTTTTTTTTTAAAAAAACTGTTTAACCAAATCAGTTAACAAACGTGGATACATGGACACAAGACCAGGCTCAGGGTGGCTAACATCAGGTATAAAAACAATTGATGAAAATGCAACTTAAAAACAAGATTAAAATACTACTTAAAATGCAGCCTCATTTAAGTGGAAGCCCAGATCAAAATCTGTTTGGGGGGAGAAAACGTCAAATCTTCACCAAGGCCAACTATCCAGACTGGTCCTACGTGGGCCAGAAAAAAGCCAGGGAAGTCCCCAAATAGGGGTTCTATCACAGAAGGAAAAGGAAAGAGGGGAAGGGGATCAGGCTGACTCCAAGCCAAAGGCCAGGTGGAACAACTCTGCGGAAAGAAATCAGATCCTGCAGGGCCCTGGTCTCATGAGACAGAGCGTTCCACCAGGTCGGAGCCATCACTGAAAAGGCCCTGGCTCTGGTTGAGGCTAATCTGACTTCCTTAGGGCCCGGGACCACTAGGGTGTTGCTATTTATGCACCTTAAGGTCCTCCGTGGTGCATACTGGGAGAGGCAGTCCCGTAGTACGAGGGTCCTAGGCCGCAAAGGGCTTTAAAGGTCAAAACCAGCACCTTCAACCTGACCCTGTACTCCACCGGGAGCCAGTGCAGCTGGAAAAGCACTGGGTGAATGTGGTCCCACGGCGAGGACCCCATAAGAAGCCTCGCCGCAGCATTCTGCACCCAATGGAGTATTGCGATCCTGAGCCATTTAAGGCTTTATAGGTCAAAACTAGCACCTTGAATTGGGCCCGGAAACTAATCGGCAGCCAGTGCAGCCGAACCAAGATGCTCAGACCATCTTGCTTATATATACACTGTATTTTTCGCTCTATAAGACGCACTTTCCCCCTAAAAAGTACAGTGGTACCTCGGGTTACATACGCTTCAGGTTACACTCTCCGCTAACCCAGAAAAAGTGCTTCAGGTTAAGAACTTTGCTTTAGGATGAGAACAGAAATCGTGCTCCTGCGGTGCGGCAGCAGCAGGAGACCCCATTAGCTAAAGTGGTGCTTCAGGTTAAGAACAGTTTCAGGTTAAGAACGGACCTCCGGAACGAATTAAGTACTTAACCCGAGGTACCACTGTAAGGGGAAATGTGTGTGCGCGTCTTATGGAGCGAATGCAGGCTGCGCGGCTATCGCTGAAGCCAGGAGAGCGAGAGGGATCAGTGCGCACCGATCCCTCTTGGTCTCCTGGCTTCAGCGAAAGCAACGCAAAGCCTCCGGAGCGCAGCGGGAGCACTCTTGCCTCTTCGCTCAAGAGGCTTTGCGTTGCTTTCTTGTTTCCCTCCTCTAAAACCTAGGCGTGTCTTTGGCAGATGAAGATGATGGACTTTTCGGGGCTAGCTGACCTGACTGGAAGAACCCGCGACCAGAAAGAGGAGTTTCAAGAGGACTGGAGGAAATTCAAGGACTATTTGAATAAATATTGTAATATAAAAAATTAGAAATGACTTGAAAGAAACAAATAGGCCTAGGATTAAATTAAGTTATAATTAAATAAATGGGATTCAGAACGTTAAGAAAAGTGAACAGGATGGACTATAATTGGAAATTGTTTTAGTTTAATAATGATATCGGAAAGCTATTACTTTTAATTACAAGGAAACTCAGAAGGGAGGGATTTGAGGAAGTCAACCAAGATATTTAAAAGGTTGGATTTGTGAAGAATTAAGTTTGTTATTATTGTCTATCTGTTTATTCCCCCCCTTCCCCCCCTCTTTCTTCTTTTTTCTTTTTGTGTAGCATCTTGCTTTGTGGTTTGTGTTATCACGGTGGAAAATCTAATAAAAACTTATTTTAAAAAATAAAAACTAGGTGCGTCTTATGGTCGGGTGCTTCTTATAGAGAGGAAAATACGGTGATAATAAACGGAAGCTCACCCGGGTCCAAGACGATTTCGGGCTCCGAGTCATGCGTGGGCTGCAGGAAAGTGGAGGCCACCATTTTCTCCAGGGGCGTGAGGCGGGGCTTGTGGGGCGCCCCTGGCCGGTGCACCGGGGGCGGTCTCTTGGCCGTGATCTTCTTCTTGACGTCCAGCCTCAAGTCTCGCCATTTGTGCTTGAGGTCGTCGATGGAGCGCTCCGTGTACCCGAGGAAGTTGACGCGGCCTTGGATCTGGGTCCAGAGCTGCTTCCGGCGGACGGGGTGAGCCCGGAACGATTCCGACCCATACAGTGCGCTAAAATGCCGCACTACATTCCAGACCAGGGTCTCCGTCTCGTCGTTGGAGAAGTTGGCTTTCCTCTTCCGGCCTGTCGCGCTGGCCTGGGCTGCGGCGGCGGCGGAAGTGGAAGGGGGAGAGTCAAAGCGAGGTCCCCATTTGTCCCTCTCGGCCGCGGAGGAAAACATTGGAGTCCGCGAGCCAGCGAGAGCGGGAGGAAGCAGGGGCCAGAGCGGCTGGGGACTCTACGGGGGCAAGGCTACGGGCCGAGGCTTCTCCCACCCCGCGAGGAAAAGCCAACGGGATTCTGCGGGTGGCGTCAACCGAAAGAGGACTGGAGACTCGCTCTGGAGTCATGCAGTCTCGTCCCAAGGGCACCTGGAAGTGAAGGAAAAATGTGAGATGGACCAAGGGGAGAATGCTGCAGAATAATAATAATAATAATAATAATAATAATAATAATAATAATAATAATTTATTATTTATACCCTGCCCATCTGGCTGGGTTTCCCCAGCCACTCTGGGCGGCTTCCAACAGAACACTAAGATACAATACCCTATTAAACTTTAAAAGCTTCCCTAAACAGGGCTGCCTTCAGATGTCTTCTAAAAGTCTGGTAGTTGTTCTTCTCTTTGACATCTGGTGGGAGGGCGTTCCACAGGTCAGGCGCCACTACCGAGAAGGCCCTCTGCCTGGTTTCCTGTAACTTGGCTTCTCGCAGGGAGGGAACCGCCAGAAGGCCCTCGGAGCTGGACCTCAGTGTCTGGGCTGAATGATGGGGGTGGAGACGCTCCTTCAGGTATACTGGACCGAGGCCGTTTAGGGCTTTCAAGGTCAGCACCAACACTTTGAATTGTGCTTGGAAACGTACTGGGAGCCAGTGTAGGTCTTTCAAGACCGGTGTTATATGGTCTCGGCGGCTGCCCCCAGTCACCAGTCTAGCTGCCGCATTCTGGATTAATTGCAGTTTCCGGGTCACCTTCAAAGGTAGCCCCACGTAGAGCGCCTTGCAGTAGTCCAAGCGGGAGATAACTAGAGCATGCGCCCCTCTGGAGAGACAGTCCGCGGGCAGGGAGGGTCTCAGCCTGCGTACCAGATGGAGCTGGTAGACACAGAATTGACCTGTGGCTCCATTGACAGCGGTGAGTCCAAAACGACTCCTAGGCTGTGCACCTGGTCCTTCAGGGTGCTGACTGGAGTAGTTTGCTCAGAGATATGCAATGGTGGCTCATCTGCTACCAGGCTAAGTTCAAGGTATTACTACAGTGGTACCTCGGTTTTCAAACAGCTTAGTTCTTGAACTACTTGGAAACCGAACGCTGCAAACCCGGAAGTGAGTGTTCCAGTTTTCGAACTTCGTTTGGGAAGCCAAAGGTGCTCCGTTTTGAGTCCTGAGCTTCTGTTTTTAGTGTTGCGCTGCTAAATTGTGTTCTACCATTGCGAGAGAAGTCTTCCGTTTCTGATTGCGGTGTTCTGAGGTGATATTTGGAGCTTATGTCTGGTGCTTTTGTTTTTGCTATTTTGTGTGTGTTTGTGTTTGTGTGGCTTTTCCCTTTTTGTGGCTGTGACTTGCGACTTTGTTTCTGTGACTGCGTGGAACTAAAAGCAGCGAAGGCAAAAGAATCATCAACGTTGTTTATTGCTTTCGTTTTATGGATCAATGGTTTTGTTAAGTACTAAAATCTATATTAAATTTTTGTTTTAGGGGTTGCTTTTAATTGTCTGGAACAGATTAATCTGTTTTGCATTACTTTCCATGGGAAAGCATGCCTCGGTTTTGGAACGCTTTGGTTTTGGAACGGACTTCCGGAACAGATTAAGTTTGAGAACCAAGGTACCACTGTATTAAGGTATAAAGCACTGAACAACTCAGGATCTGTTTACCTGCGAGACCGCCTTACCCTATACTTGCCCATTTGATCTCCAGCATCACCTTGCCAACAAAAGTCCGTATAGTAAAAGCTATGGTTTTCCCAGTAGTGATGTATGGAGGTGAGAGCTGGACCATAAAGAAGGCTGATCGCCGAAGAATGGATGCTTTTGAATTATGGTGCTGGAGGAGACTCTTGAGAGTCCCATGGACTGCAAGAAGATCAAACCTCTCCATTCTGAAGGCAATCAGCCCTGAGTGCTCACTGGAAGGACAGATCCTGAAGCTGAGGCTCCAATACTTTGGCCACCTCATGAGAAGAGAAGACTCTCTGGAAAAGACCCTGATGTTGGGAAAGATGGAGGGCACAAGGAGAAGGGGACGACAGAGGATGAGATGGTGGGACAGTGTTCTTGAAGCTACCAGCATGAGTTTGACCAAACTGGGAGGCAGTGGAAGACAGGAGTGCCTGGCGTGCTCTGGTCCAGGGGGTCACGAAGAGTCGGACACGACTAAACGACAACAATCAGGACCTGAACCCAAAGCCTTGTGGCTTCTAACAAGTGGTATTCCAAGGCATTTTTGCCTTTGCCTGTGGAGCCAGAGCATAGACATCCTGACTAGTAGCCCCCAATAGCCCGCTCCCCCTCCACGAATATTTGCCCAGTCCTCTTTTCACACCATCCAATTTGCCAGCCATCACAGCTTCTTGTAGCAGGGAGTTCCAGAGTTTAACTAAGCTCTGTGCAAAGGAGGACTGTCTTCCCTCAGTCCTGAATCTTCCAAGATTTGGGTGTCCAGAAGTTGTAGCATTATGAGAGAGAAACAGATGCATGCAACACACCTCGCTGGTTCCGGGCTTAGAAAGCACGGGTGCAAGTAGTTTTCAGTTTGCCTGCCCCAGGAAAACCCTCTTTTTTACAATGAATCAGGGCAGATGTCAATCTGCAGAAAACCCAACTGATGTTTGCTCCAATTCAGCAGTAAAGAGTGAGTTTTGCCAGGGGGAAACAGCAGGAAGGGAAGATTTCCTCATGCACCACTGATATCTGGAACTCATTGCCACAGTGACTCCACCGTATACAAAATCAGTGGTAGGAGAAAAGCTCTTTCTCTTTTAAACTATTGGACTTTGGGAATGAATGGAGAGTTCTGAGGAACTCAGAGCCCTAAGCTGTTTTTCTTACATTTTAGGCATTTCCACAAAAGCTTTTAAAACGACCGCTCTATTCCTCTGCATGTATGAACGCCATTAATGGTTTCCAGTCTGCAGCTGTTCTGGAGTGTTTTAAAAAGACTTCTGGGAGAAGATTTATAACGAACTGAAAAAAATGTTGAAATATACATTTATTAAGAAACCAGAGGCCTTTCTTCTTGGAGTAACAGGTTTAGAATTGCCCAAGAAAGATGCTAAATTATTTTTGTATGCCACAACGGCTGCCCGAATATTACTTGCTAAAAATTGGAAAACACAAGAACTACCAACAGTGGAAGATTGGCAGATGAAGATGATGGACTTTTCGGAGCTAGCTGACCTGACTGGAAGAATCCGCGACCAGAAAGGAGTTTCAAGAGGACTGGAGGAAATTCAAGGACTATTTGAATAAATATTGTAATATAAAAAATTAGAAACTACTTGAAAGAAACAAATAGGTCTAGGATTAAATTAAGCTATAATTAAATAAACGGGATTCAGAATGTTAAGAAAAGTGAATAAGATGGACTATAATTGGAAATTGTTTTAGTTTAAAATTGATATTGGAAAGCTGTTACTTTTAATTACAAGGAAACTCAGAAGGGAGGGATTTGAGGAAGTCAACCAAGATGTTAGAAAGGTTGGATTTGTGAAGAATTAAGTTTGTTATTATTGTCTATCTGTTTATTGTTCCCCCCTTTCTTCTTTTTTTTTCCTTTTCTGTTTTTGTGTATCATCTTGCTTTGTGGTTTGTGTTATCACGGTGGAAAATTGAATATATATATATTTTTTTAAAAGACGTTTTTATTGTTCTGGCCACTTGTTGTTTGCCATCCCGAGTTCCTTCAGGAGGAAAGGTGGAGTAGAAATTCAAGAAATAATAAATAGCCAGAACTAGAGTAGAAGCAAGACAGAGCAAATTTCATATCAAGTGCCTGTGGTAAGCTAATATACAGATTTTCCATTCAGATGTCCGATACAGGAAAAACACAGAGGAAGTCTGCAAAGAGTACACACTGGCTGGGAAGTTAAGACCCAGACAGCTCAGCGGGACTTGCTTCTGAGCAAAAGTTGATGATGAGAATCCTTTTAGATTTGTTTGTGGGGAGATTAAATGGCTGCTTCAAAGGCAAAGGGCCTTAGCTCAGGGGCCTTGCGTGCATCGTCTCCAGGCAGGACTGGGGAAATTTCCCTGCCTAAAACCCAGGAGAGCCACTGCCTGTCACAGAATCGCAGAGTTGGAAGGGGACCCCGGCGGCCATCTAGCATTCTAGCCCAACCCGCTGCAATGCAAGAATCTTTTGCCCAACAAGTGGCTTGAAACCATGACTCTAATTTGAGAAAATTTTAGACTCCTGGGGTAGCTCAATCAGTAGAGCTGACCAATTTCCCCCACATCTTTTGGGGGAACAGTTGCAAGACCTCCCAGCCACCTAATAACTGCACCACCAGAATGTGGCAGCTAGACTGGTGACTGGGAGCGGCCGCCAAGACCATATAACACCGGTCTTGAAAGAATATGTGGAGGACTCCCTGGTCCTGATTGGGGTAACTGTACCCCTAAAGGACCAGGTATGCAGCCTGGGAGTCATTTTGGACTCACAGCTGTCCATGGAGGCGCAAGTCTATTCTGTGTCTAGGGCAGCTGTTTATCAACTCCATCTGGTACGCAGGATGAGACCCTACCTGCCCACAGACTGTCTCGCCAGAGTGGTGCATGCTCTGGTTATCTCTCGCTTGGACTACTGCAATGCGCTCTATGTGGGGCTACCTTTGAAGTTGACCCAGTGGCGTAGCGTGGGTTGTCAGCACCCAGGGCAAGGCAAGTAATTTGTGCCCCCTAACCCGTGGATTTGCACCCCCTAACCCTATCCCCCAGATGTTGCGCCCGGTGCGGCCGGCCCCCCCTGCACCCCCCACGCTACGCCACTGAGTTGACCCAGAAACTACAACTAATCCAGAATGCAGCAGCCAGACTGGTGACTGGGAGCGGCTGCAGAGACCACGTAACACCGGTCTTGAAAGACCTACATTGGCTCCCAGCATGTTCCGAGCACAATTCAAAGTGTTGGTGCTGACCTTTAATGCCCTAAACGGCCTCGGTCCTGTATATCTGAAGGAGCGTCTCCACCCCCATTGTTCTGCCCGGACACTGAGGTCCAGCTCCGAGGGCCTTCTGGCGGTTCCCTCCCTGCGAGAAGCCAAGTTACAGGGAAGCAGGCAGAGGGCCTTCTTGGTGGTGGCACCCGCCCTGTGGAACGCCCTCCCACCAGATGTCAAAGAGAAGAATAGCTACCAGACTTTTAGAAGACATCTGAAGGCAGCCCCGTTTAGGGAAGCTTTTAATGTTTAATAGGTTATTGTATTTTAGTGTTTTGTTGGAAGCCGCCCAGAGTGGTTGGGGAAACCCAGCCAGATGGGCGGGGTATTTTATTATTATTATTATTATTATTATTATTATTATTATTATTATTATTATTATTATTATTACCACCAGAATCTTCTGGCATGTGATTGAATCTCAGCTGAAAACAGCACCCCAGGCCTCCTCCTGCATCAACCCACAACCAGCAACAGGGTTTTGTGTTTACACTCCAAAAAAACCACTTGGGCCTCACTGCCTCCTCATACAAGGGGAAGGGGAGGCCCAAACGCTCCCTGAATCCGGTTTAGGCCTCCCCTCTGCTTCCCAAAAGATTAACAAGGAAACAAACATCTCCCCGCTGGAGAGGCGTGTCCACTCCGGATCCAGATTTCATTCTGCTGTCTGCACACACGTGTCAATTCGGATTCACTCCCGGGCGCTCCAGGGCCAAAACGGTGCGCCACCGTTTCTTTCCCCGCGTGGCACTGGCCCCGGGATCCTATTGTGGAGCTGGCCAGGAAGGACCTCCAGGATCGGATCGCGCTGTCCTTAAGCGCAAGCGGACAGAAGCCGTTTGCGGTAACTCAACAGGAAAAAGGCTCCTTTGTGCGGAGTTGCGCGCTAGCCTATCCCTTTCCGCAGGGAAGGGAAATCGACGGCAATAATGGCACATGCAGAAATTAAGAAGATCTCCATTGCAAGGCTCCCCTTCGTCGGCCACGCGGAGCCCGCTCAGCGCGCAGCTAATTCGGATTTAAAAGCAACCCAAGCCGGAGAGGGATGCGGGGCAAGGGGCGCAATCCGTCCGGGTTCCAGCGGCCTGGCGCATTTCAAAAGCTCCTTCAGCCTGCAAACATGACCACCGAAGGACAATAGGCGCCGCCACAGCTTAGCTCTCGGCGGCTGCGGAAGGGCGCGCGCGCGCGGAAGGGTGGGGAGGGGGGGATGGAGTTGTTTACAACTCTTTCCTGCCCGATCCGGATCCCACCCCCAAGCCTGCACCAGGGGCTGCATGCAAAACCCGCGATCCCGCCCACCTTTGGGATTTTGGAGAAATCCAACAAGGGAAAAAGGAGAGATCAAACCAAGTCGCGCGTCTCCAAAAACTCCCGGCTCTTCCCAAAAAGGCCGCGGATCCGGTGCGGAAACTCACGCGGGAGCGAGCGAGCCGCCCGGCCCGGCGGCCTTGCTTCCGCGGAGGCGCGCGCGGGGACCCCAGAGTCTCCAGCGCAGCGCGCGCGCGAACAAAACCGTGCGCTCTGCGCAACGCGGATCCGGGCAGGGGCGGAGATTGCGCAGGGGCGGAGGTTGCGCAGGAGCGGAGGTTGCGAGGGAAGAGGAGGTGGAGGAGCCGCCCTCGTGCTCGCCTCTCCCCCGGCCCCGGCTGCAACCCCCCCGGGCCCCTGGGCGGCGTGGGAACCGCAGCCTCTCCAAGCGCCCCCCTTCCTTACCCGCGCGCAAAGCTGCTTGTCTCCGCGGGCGCGCCAGCTTCCCCGCCGCCGCCGCCTGCGCGTCTCCTCCTGCGCGCCCCCAACGCTGGGCGGAGGGATGCGCGCCTCTCCCTTCCCCCGCGCCGCCTTCTTTGGCTCTCGCCTTAATGGCTCCTCCCGACTCCGCGCGACGAGGAGGCGCAGGAACCAGGCGGCGGCGCTTCCTCCTGCGCCCAGGCGCGGCCGCCACTTGCCTCTGCCCTCTGCTGGCTCCGGAGGGGCCTGGAGGTTTCCGCCGATGCCTCGGCCCGCCCCCCACCATCCCCTTGGCACCCGGCACTCCTGGTTGCCCGAGGAGGCTTCACACGATACGCGGGTGCGCGGATCATACACGTGAAGATTCGGAAGGGACACCGAGGGCCATCTAGTCCAACCCGCTGCAACGCAGGAATCTCAGCTAAAGCATCCGTGACAGCCTGGGTAGCTTATGGCGCAGATAACGGCCAAGGTTTGCAGGTTCGATTCCCGTATGGGGCAGCCGCATATTCCTGCATTGCTTCTTTTTTGTTTTTAATTTAAAAAAGATATTTATTAAAGGTTTAATAATTACAAAAAAAAGAAAAAAAGAAGCAATTAAAAGTTCACAATACATCAAAAAGAAAAAGAAAAAACAATACAGCAAAACGACAAAAAAGCAAAAACATTTAAAAACACATCCAATATCTCTATATCTCTACCTTTCATTTACTTGTATCATCGACCTCCCTTTTTTGTATTCTTGTTCAATTAACTATTTCAGCAAATCCTTTCCATCTTTCTTAATTTTTGCTCTGTAATTTATCTTAACCCAATCTAACCTTTAATTTCCACTTTGACCCATTAACAATCTATTTTTACTTAATTCTTTATAACATTTCTGCTAAAGCCATATAACTTTATTCCAGCATCCTTCTAACATTCATTAATTTTACAATATTTCTGTAAATATACTTTAAATTTCATATTCCTGCATTGCAGAGGGTTGGACTAGATGACCCTGGGGTTCCCTTCCAGCTCCACAATTCTACGATCTATGACAGGTGTCCATCCAACCTCTGCTTGAAAGCCTCCAAGGAAGGAGAGGTCGTCACTGTTCCTTCCTCAAATAGCTCTTGCTGTCAGAAAGTTCTTCCTGATGCTGAGATGGAATCTCTTTTCTTGTCGCTTGAAGCCATGGGTTCGAGTCCTGCCCTCCAGAGCAGGAGAAAATTAAACTTTTTCCTGCTCTTCCATGTCGCAGCACAGATGCTGGATTTTCTTTCTTTTTATTGTGTGTATTGTTTTTAATGCCGTACACTATCCTTCGATCTTTTGAAAAAGGGCAGTACAGTATATAAATTGAGTAAATAAAGAATATAAATAACAATGCTAGAAGTCTCTGAGCCCAGATGGGTGGGCTGGAGTGTTTGGTCTCAGAGGACGGCAGTGAAACAGAGAGCATAACAGAATCCTGGTGGAATGGCAAGTGTTACAAGAATTCGAAGGTCTCAAATATAGAATAAATGTTCATAAATGGACAAGGCAAAGACATATGTAAGTATATAAACCACGTGTCTGAAATATAGTGGTACTTCGGGTTACATACGCTTCAGGTTACAGACTCCGCTAACCCAGGTCAAGAACTTTTAGTACCTCAGGTCAAGAACTTTTCTTCAGGATGAGAACCAAAATCGCGCAGCGGCAGCAGGAGGCCCCATTAGCTAAAGTGGTGCTTCAGGTTAAGAACAAACCTCCAGAACGAATTCAGTACTTAACCTGTGGTACCACTGTAGTACAGGAATAGTAAGAGGCCAACCAAAACAAAAAGACCCTGATGTTGGGAAAGATGGAGGGCACAAGGAGAAGGGGACGACAGAGGACGAGATGGTGGGACAGTGTTCTTGAAACTACCAGCATGAGTTTGACCAAACTGCGGGAGGCAGTGGAAGACAGGAGTGCCTGGTGTGCTCTGGTCCATGGGGTCACGAAAAGCGGACACAACTAAACAACAACAAAACTTCAATGTTGTCGCTTTCTAGAATGACCTCCAGGTGTCGCCGTAAGCCCACCTCTTAAACGGAGCTTCCGTCAGGTTGCCAGCTGATTTTTCCAAGCTGCGCAGCTGTGCTTTTAACAGCTGCACGAGAGGGAATCCATCTTTGCCCATCCTAATGTTGCACCTGCCCAAATTCCTCGTAAGTGCTAGGCTTAAAGAACTAGAGTTTGCATCATCTTTGAACTGGAGAATCAATACCTTGTATGTTAGTGGAAGCAGGTTGAGTTGGCTGTTTTTCTCTCCCTCCCACCTCCCCAGAAATTGTACTGAGACCTCATGCCTGGCAAGAGTCAAGCCATGGATTAGAGCAAAGCAGAAAATCACTCTGCACTTTCTCAGAGGCACAGGGCTTTCAAAGCCAAGGTTTCTACCCACCGCACCCCCTAAACATGTTGTACTTGACTGCTCTGTATTTCACATCCCACAAAATCTAGGTCAAACATATGTTGGGAATGCAGGGAGGCAGAAGGCACAATGGTCCACATGTGGTGGAACTGCAAAAAAAATCAGAGAATGTTGGGAGACAATATACAACGAACTTCAGAAAATGTTTAAATGTTCCTTCCCCAGGAAGCCTGAAGCCTTCGTGCTAGGAATAATGAGCAATGAAATCCCAAAGAAATTTAGGAGAATTTTCATGTATGTAGCAGCAGCAGCCAGAATCTTAATTGCAAAGGGTTGGAAAGGAGATTCTATCTCATCAAAATTAGACTGGCAGGTGAAGGGAAGCAGTGGGGAGGAGAGGAGGGTTAGGTTGGATTTGGGAAATACAGTGGTACCTCAGGTTAAGTACTTAGTTCGTTCCGGAGGTCTGTTCTTAACCTGAAACTGTTCTTAACCTGAAGCACCACTTTAGCTAATGGGGCCTCCTGCTGCCGCCGCGCGATTTCTGTTCTCATCCTGAAGCAAAGTTCTTAACCTGAAGCACTATTTCTGGGTTAGCGGAGTCTGTAACCTGAAGCGTATGTAACCTGAAGCGTCTGTAACCTGAGGTACCACTATAAAATAATATATGGGACAGCAAAGGATATAATAGATTCTTATAGAATAGTAATATATTGTAACCGGAATAGAAGTTTAAAAGGGGAAGTGAATGTATTTTTAGTATTTTCATTATTGTAATTATTATTTGTTATTGGTAGAAGACAATGTTAAGTTAGGCTTCTTCATTTTGCTGTCTGTATAATTTTCTTAAGACAATAAACAAAACAAAAAACAAAATTAGACTGGCAGAACAAAATGCGAGAATATGTAGAACTAGCTAGATTATCAGCAAAATTCCAAAATGTCACTGACTAAAAATTTGATAGAGAATGGGGTGTATTGTTGTAAGGTTACAGGCTCACACCCTATTCAAACACAGACATTCCTTAAGACAGGATTTGTGAAGGAAAAGACAATGGGGAGGCTTTTTCCATTTTCCTTTGACCTTGCAGAGAAAACATTTGGTCAGTTTGGGAATCAAAAATGGTTCCAGGTCGGTCTTCCTGTGCTGATCTATGTATATGCTTGGTTGGTACACTTATGAACATTTAACATATATCTAAGACCTCAAAATTCCTATCACAATATACAGAGTCTATCCGAGGGAACATTGTAAAAATGTAAATCCTTTGGCACGCCTGGATTGACTTTCTGCATGAAATAAAGAGCACCTTACAAAATTAATGTAACGGAAACAACTTAGAGGAGATAAAGCTTAGTGTGTAGTTAAAGAATCTAACTTGGGAATCACAATGGGGTGACCGGCGGTCAAGATCACAAAATGTCACATACAGTAAGTATTAAGTTTGGAATGAATGTTTTATTCCCCCCCCCGCCCCCGGTTGATCGCTCTGTGTTGTGTTGTTTAAATCAATAAAGCATAATGAAAAAGAAAATAAAAGAAACCACTTTAAACAGTCATGGCTTCCCCAAAATAATTCTGGGAGCTGAAGTTTGTTGAGGGTGTTGCAACGGAGACCCCTATTCTCAGAGTGGCTTAACACTCAATTGTTTTTCGCTGGGAACTCTGGGAATTGTAGTTCTGGTGGGGGGTAGGAACATTTGCACGCCTGACAAACTGCAGCTCCCAGAATCCTTTGGGGGAAAGCCATGACGGTTTAAAGTGGGGTGGCAGAGCTTTAAATGTATGGTGTGGAAACAGCCGACTTTCCTGCTGTGATAAGAATTTTAAGGTCTTAGATATATAATAAACGTACCAACCAAGAACGTACATAGATCAGCACAGGAAGACCGACCTGAAACCATTTTTGATTCCCAAAAGTGACCAAATGTTTTCTCTGCAAGGTCAAAGGAAAATGGAAAAGCCTTCCCGTTGTCTTTTCCTTCACAAATCCTGTCTTAAGGGTATGTCTGTGTTTGAATAGGGTGAGCCTGTGACCTGGCTCAGGAACTAAGTATTTATCATTACTGAGTGCTCACTGGAAGGACAGATCCTGAAGCTGAGGCTCCAAGACTTTGGCCACCTCAGGAGAAGAGAAGACTCCCTGGAAAAGACCCTGATGTTGGGAATGATGGATGGCACAAGGAGAAGGGGACGACAGAGGACGAGATGGTGGGATAGTGTTCTCGAAGCTACCAGCATGAGTTTGACCAAACTGCGAGAGGCAGTGGAAGACAGGAGTGCCTGGCGTGCTCTGGTCCATGGGGTCACGAAGAGTCGGATACGACTAAACGACTAAACAACAACAAACAACAAAGTATTTATCATTACAAAAGACTGGCCAGGCTCCCCAGGCAATCTAATCAAGTGACCATTAAACAGGTAACCTGGCAGACAGGAGATAAACAACGCACTCAGATTTCTGTTGTAGACCGCCCTTTCTGTGATGTATGTATGATGTTTCTGGGGGTGGTCTGGATCTACAGGGTGGCAATTTCAAAAGTCTTTATAAGGCCTTGCGCGCCATTGTTCTGGGTTCTTCCTCCTTTCCTGTGGGTGAGGGGAGCACTCTGTTACAACAGATCAATAAAGTTCAGGTTTACTAGCTGCTTTGCTTCTCAATATTCTCTGGTTGGCCTCTGTTATTTTCTCCTACCATTAGGGAACC